ATCGAAGGCTTTTTTGAAGTCAGGATATATGACATCAATCTCTTCTCCCTTGTCCAGGTGATAGGTCACCTGGTCGTAGAAGGAAATGAGATTGGTCAAGCAAGACCTACCCGCAACAAACCCGTGCTGGCTATCCCTTAAGATGTTGGTGTCGGCCAGTCCATTAAGGATGGCCTCTTTGATAAAATTTTCTAAGATCTGACCCCGGGATAGAAGTCAGGCTGATGGGCCTATAGTTAGCCGGATCCACTTTCCTCCCTTTCTTGAAGATAGGCACCACATTGGCCTTCTTCCAGTCTTCGGGCACTACACCAGAGCGCCAAGAGTTTTCAAAGATCTGCGCTAGAGGCTGGGCTATGATGCTCGCCAGCTCCTTGAGTATTATGCAGATAGACAAGATATAGCTGAGTTATAAGGTAGACAGTGGGGCTGAAAAGTGCTGTGCACAGACAGTTTATCTGATATGCAAGTAACCAATGTTTATTACATTGTGAGCAATAAGTAACACATTGGAACTAGCACTGTGTTATTGCAGATATGCAATACTAACCAATTGCCCATCAAGAATAATGGGGTGGGGGAGCGTGTGGAGACAGAGCCCCATGACCCCCTTTGTCTGGGCCTGCTCCCCCCTTCCCTCCTGCTGCTTGGGGTCTGGGCCCGTTCCCCACTCCCCGCCACAGCCCAAGGGTAGGGTAAAGCTGGGCCATGGTGGCAGGGGGACAGGAGGAGCAGGGGAGGAGCTGCCGTGGGGGAGAGAGGTGGGGGATGGGGGAGCAGAGGAATGCCAGGGAAATCTGACTTGGGGTGGGACTCTGCAAATAGAGGAATCCAAGTCAGCACTCCTGGGGCTTCAGGGGCCCAATCCTGCGCACAGTGGCAATGGTAGTTGCTGGGATGTGTAGGATCAGTCATCTGGCAGGCACATTTGGGCTTCCTGCACTCTCCCATCTTAAAACTAACAGACACACACCACAGAAGAGTGGCACAAATTCATACTACCTGTCATGGACGCAAATCTTGGCCATTTGTGGAGTGACAGGGAGCATAGATGTCTGTTTGCTTGACCTCTGTGCTGCCATAAAGCTTTCTATGGCAGCACAAAGGTAAGGTATGTTTCTAGCCTAATACTGAAAATATTTGCACTTCACTCTAAAATGTATCTTTATTTAAACACACATGGCTTTAGTATGTTTTTATAATAAAAGGGAAAATGAGATATTTGGGTAACAATTTATTTTTTATACTTATTACACTGAAATCAGAATTGAAATGCAGATTTTTATAAATCAGAGTCATATGTGCCAATAGGTACAGGGAACAGTTTATAATAAACTCCCAGTATAGTTCTTAAAGACTCAATATGATCAGATTTTAATTTTCCAGCACATAATAGACCTGATATTCAGTTATGTTAAGGCCCTTTTGTACTGCTCTAGCCTTTAAGTAGACATAAATATAGTTAAACACCAGAAAAGTGTAAGGGGACCTTAAAGAGTGAGACTGGTTATACAGATGGCATAAATCTGTCATTCTTTCTTTTAATCAGTAATTAATTAAGTAGTAATAAAATCTAAATGTTTACAGCAAGATCAATGTTATATCACCTTGCTGCGTATTTACTATTGGAAATACTTTTGTTCAGTTTGCTACAGATAGTTTAGAAAGTAAGTTAGCTTCATATTCTATTGTTTTTCTTTATTTGAAACATAGAAAGTTGCTTGTTTTGACCTCACAAACACTGTTTCAGAACTATTGTAGATTTGAATTCCTCGCTGAATCACTTACTGACATCTTTCTGTGTTTACAACAGGTGGTTTGTGTTTGACACAGAAACAAAAGATTTGGTTACTGTGCACACAGATGGAAACGAACAGCTGTCGGTTATGCGTTACTCACCAGGTTTGACACAGTCTCTTAGAAGTTTTTTAAGTGATTTAATTTTATATAAGTTTTATTCTTCAAAAATCTCCAATATCATATTTAAACTAGGTATAGAAATAACTGATTAAATCCTGACCCAACTGAGTCAATGGGAGTTTTGCCACTGACCTCAGTGAAGCCAGGATCTCTGATTTCTTATTTTTTGGATCTTAATGTATTGTATGATTTACTAGCATAGAGAAGACAAGTGCAAAACTGTGCTTCCCTACATAAGTTCATGTAGAACCATGATCAGGTTAATCTTCCACGATTATGGTTTCCTCTTAGTTGCCTTACAACGTTTTAACTGCAGTATTCACTATATAAAGCTGTTTCAGTGAAATGTACGTGAATGTATAAACAGAATTTTCCTCTTATTTTTCTTAGTCTTTACTTTTTGTTAACAAAGGCTTAAGGACAAGGGTCATTGTCCATGGAACATTAGTACTTCCTAAACTATTTTGGTTTCTTTTTGAGGTATAATTTTAATATTTTGTTTGTTTATAGATGGAAACTTCTTGGCAATAGGTTCCCATGACAACTGTATCTATATATATGGTGTTAATGAAAATGGAAGAAAATATACTAGAATTGGCAAATGCTCAGTAAGTAACTTATTCTGATTCACTAGAAACAAATTGCCTTGTAATTTTTGTAATGTATAGTAATATTATCATGTTGGGAGCTGCTGTTAAAATTAATACAATATTCTTCTCAGGGTCATTCCAGCTTCATTACTCATTTGGACTGGTCTGTTAATTCACAGTACCTTGTGTCTAATTCAGGGGACTATGAAATCCTATACTGTGAGTAACCAGTTATTTTTCTGTGCTTTATATAGAATTCATTTTAGGTGAGCTAATGCAGTTAACATTTAAATAGGATCATATAATTATTGTGATGGAACATATATAATTATTCTGCTCCGATCAATTCCTACATAGCTATAAAATTAAAAATATTGTTTGCTGCTTTTTCTGTAGGGATTCCCTCTGCTTGTAAACAAGTAGTGAGTGTGGAAGCTACTAGAGATATAGAATGGGCTACTTATACCTGTACTTTAGGATTCCATGTTTTTGGTAAGTTTCTATCCTTAAACTTACATTCTTTGCTTTTATATTTAACTAGCATTCAGTGTGTCAAGTTTTTCATTTAAAACACAACTCTTCAAATTTCACAGGACAAATATTAAATTTCTATTAATCATTTCTATCAGAAACAAGTGGTGCTTTAAGATTATAGCATTTTATAGCTTATTACTGTAACTGTTGTGAGTTTCTGCTTTATTCTGCTCTGAATGGGAGTGCGCCATTGTAATTTTAAACCTCTTTATTCAGGTTGAATGTTACAGAGGTTTAGCTCCACTATACCAGTATAGGAGCAGATGAAACTGCTACAGTGGTTCAGTTCAGGTGCACTCCCAAGCAGTAAGTTCTCCTTCCCCTGTCTTTAAGAAGATGTATTGTATTGTCTGTCCATAGCTTCAGTCTTCTTATTTTAATCCAGAAAACCTCTGATTCCTGGTAGCTTCAGATAAAAATATTTAAGTGCAACATAAGTGGAAACCATCACAAAGTAGCCACTATGACAGACTTGTAACAGTGTGACCTAATTATGGGATCATTGTTGTTTTTATTGTGGTAACATTAAATAAATCAGTCAGGGTCAAGTTCCATTATGCACTGTGCTGTACAGGTTTCCCTTGCTTTTTGCGGGTTCTGTATGTGCAAATTCACTCTAATACAATGACCCTTTTTATACCAAAAATTCATTATATGTGAGGTGAATTCACTCTTATGTGATTGGTGTGGTGGAAGCCCACAGTCAGCTGCTTTATGTGGTGCATTGTGGGAATGACGCACATCAAAATATAGTCTCCTGTGTGGATCTGTGCTCCTTGCTCGTTGTCTGCGATACATGTTTCTGTAGTTACCATCCACATTATGATAGTTCACTGTGCTTGTGTGTACTGTCTGCTGTTGATGAGTACCAAAGTTGTCTTGTAAAAGTGGCAGAAATGGGCCTGGGGGTCAGTACAGTTGAGGTCTTGGAATGTATCCCTATTTGTTACATTGTAAAGTGGGTTCCCTTTATGCAAATTTGAGTTATGCGTCTTTTTCCAGGAACACATGTACAGCATAAAGCCAGGGAAACCTATACAAACATGTAGAAGAGAATCCTTTGCCCAAAGACCTTACAGTATAAATTGAGATAATGTATAGAAGCATGCAAAATTAGCAAAAGAAGGGAAAAACGGGCTGTGTGAGACATAAAGAAGGTGAACTGTTGAAAATGCTTTTGATTTTCTTCATTTATGTTGATGGTATTTTGTATTTTACATTTTATATAAATAATCTCTCACCCCACTTCAGTGATGTACCATGGGTCTCCAGGGCACACCCCGCCCCTCGTCCATGGCTGATCACCAAGCACTGGGGAGGAGGGGTCTACTAGCAGGGCGGGGGGGGGCAGCGCCAGCGGTCTACTGGAACTGGATGCGTTCAAGTCGGCAGGCCCGGATGAGCTCCATCCGAGGGTACTGAAGGCACTGGCTGACGTCATTGCACAGCCA